CTCTGTTGTGTGCAGTGTTTTGAACTGTTGGTTGTGGTGCAGTGTTTTGAACTGTTGGTTGTGGTGCAGTGTTTTGAACTGTGGTTGTGGTGCAGTGTTTTGAACTGTTGGTTGTGGTGCAGTGTTTTGAACTGTTGGTTGTGGTGCAGTGTTTTGAACTGTTGGTTGTTGTGTTGGTTGTTGTGTTGGTTTTGGTGCATGCCTGTGTCTGTGTCCATGTGACGATGTAAATGTTTTAGGTAGTCCTGGTGCAGGTGCTTCTCTTGGAGGGTTTGGTGGTATATAAGTTCCACCAGCTGGCACATATGTTCCATCTGCAGCATAATGTCCTACCTGACTTTTCGTTTTAAGAAAGCATTTACTAGGTCTGTTTTGGTCTGTTGTAACTCTTTTTCTTGACTTTCCACAACAGTTGCTCTAACGGCGTCATAGGCACTTTGAACTGCCTGTCTCGTTGCTGCATCTGTTATTTTCGTCATATTTTGTGCTACTTCTCTTAACTTTGTCGAAACCTTCAGACTTCAGTTTCTTTCCAGATGAGAAGTCGTTCACTAGTTTCACCTTACTATGAAGAGCTTCGAAGGCGTTCTTAAAGTCAGCATTCATTAAAGCTTCATTTGAACTGTCTTCATCCGCTTGTATTTTTGTCCTTATTGACCCTATAAGTTGGGCTGCTTTAGCGTTGGCTTGGGCATCTAACCAGTCATTATTAGCTTTTATATATTCTGCGCTTTTCATTGCCTTTTGCATGGCTGCGTCGTTATTTTTACTTTCTTGTGCTAAGTTTTCATACTGTACGGTTTGGTTTTGCAACTGTAAAAGTTTTTCTGCCTTTACATTTGCTTCAACTTCTTTTTTATACTCATCGCTATCCATATATGTCTTCAGGGCTTTTTGTTTTATTCTTCATCTTTCAGTACTTTATATTGAGTAGTATGGTTTTTCAAATTTATAACATCTTGTTCCATTTTTGCTACTTCTGCTGCTTTTTCTGACACTTTTTTCGCATATTCCTCTGTACTTAGTTCTTTCAGTTGTTCTTCTTTCTTCTTTTTCTCTACGTTTAACTCATTGAGTTTCTTTGTGTGTCTGTCATATTCTAGTTTCTTTTCGTTTTCACTTATTTGTTTCTGTATGTCTATGTTTGACTTTTTGACATCTGTTATTTGATTTTTGAGTGAACTCAAATTCATTTGACTTTGAGGGTTATAAGCTGTTCCGTCTGCAGCTCCACCATAGCCTGCCATTTTCGCTAAAAGTGCCGCTCTTAAACCTCCACTCTGTGCACCAATAACTCGGTTTAAAAGCATAGGGTTGCTTGACATTTGTTGCAACATAGTGGGGTCATTCATCATTTGTTGTTGCAACTGTTGTTGTGGTGTCAGTTTTACTATTGGATGTTTCAATGCTCCCTTCCTCTTACGTATATTCTTACGTAGCTTACGTGGCATTTTAAGTGAAGTTAAAAAGCGGTTTTTGACAGATGTTTATATGACACTTTTTGTTCAGCACAAAAAACTACTCGGTCAAAGTGTTGTCAGTTTTGTAAAATAACCGTCCTATCTCATTTTAAGGGGAAAAGGCTTCTCAAAGTATACTTCCTTGGAACGCCCGTAACTTTTCCTGTAGCGACGATAGACCCTTACTTGTCCGGACAAAGTTATACTATTTTGAGTGCTCTACAAAAAAGTCAACGCGACGACTCTCAAAAACCGTTGTGTAAAAAGTTTTACCGTTGGACAAAAAAGTATATATAGAAAACAAAAAACGTTTATAGTTCATTCAATATTTGAGATGGAACGGTTTGCCAACGGTAACTATTAAATAAAATAAAAAAATAGAGGGGGTCTCCGTTGGTAAAAACCGTTTATTTTAAACTTTTCTATGAGTTGTCCGAAAAAAAAACAGTTCATTTTTCATAATGGAAGGAAGAAAAAGTGTCGCAAACAATTCGTCGACTACCTCTGCAGTTAAAGTTCCTACAACTTATGTCTCACCATTCTCAAAACCCTTACGACCTCCTATAATACCAAAGCAACTTCCTCATACAATTGCAAACAAATTGTTGGACAATTCAAGACAATCTACTCAAGAAAATACCATACAAACAAACGAAACAACAGATACAGTTGTACCAGACACAACAGGACAAGTTTTACAGTCTTCTCCAATTGCAAACAAATTGTTGGACAATTCAAGACAATCTACTCAAGAAAATACCATACAAACAAACGAAACAACAGATACAGTTGTACCAGACACAACAGGACAAGTTTTACAGTCTTCTCCAATTGCAAACCAATTGTCCAACAATTCAAGACAATCTACTCAAGAAAATACCATACAAACAAACGAAACAACAGAGGAACAACCAAGCGCGTCATCGATGACGACAAGGTCCCAGATGAGATACCTCGCGTTCGCGAAGCAATTTCAATCAGGAGATACAGAAAATACAGAAGAAAACACTACCATACCTGAACGTGTTCGCAGGCAATATGCTAAAAAAAGACTTCAACTCCTTGAAAAACTCAAAAACCAATGGGGAATTCAAGACGACACCGATTATTCGGAAGTGTTTCAGTCTGTTATGGATAGTTTGCAACCAGTTGAAAATGAAGTTAAAGACCCAGGTGTTCTCGTGGACTTGTTTGTTCAATACTTGCCTGTTACAGCAAACCTAATTGCACTACAAGCCATCGACCAATTTATTAGACTTTTCCCCAAAAATATGCAAACTTATTTGCGAAATGTGAAAATTGCTGAGTATGTCAGCATATATCCCAATACCTACAACTATCTCGAAGAATTGGATGAGTATGGGCAAAGGTCCTTTTACGTATACTTTTTTACCAAACCAGGACAGTCAAAACGGTTATATTGTATACAACCTTTACCAGAATTTCAAGACAATTTCCATGTCATATCCACTATAGCGTTAGATACACCAGAAAGAGTTCCCTACGGTAGCAAAGTTAGTATTTCAAGCTTCCCGAAAGCTACCAAAGGACATCCTATAAAATTGGCAGAATTCACTAATTCAAATTGCCAATTCAAACAGGATGTTGAGTTTGTATTCTTACACGATACCACATTCATAATACAGACACCTCCAGATGGACTCTACAAAGTATTTATAGCTGGACACGTAGCACCAGATGACGAAGAAGAAGTCGAGGAAATTATATCTTCGGATAATGAAGAGGAACAAACATTTGAAGATGTTAAAGACTCAGATTATACTGAGTAAAAAACTATTTAAGATTAAAAAATTTTATTTTATTTAAATATCTTTCTTTTTCATCGGAGTCTTGGGGTCAGTCCTCCTCTAGGTTTTTTAGGGGCTAGAAGGGGCGCAGCCCCTGGAAGCCCCACTACCTTTTTTTTTTTTTTTTTTAATATATGTATCAATTATAAAAGTAGGGTTGCTAATTTGGATGATCTTTTTGGATCATCCAAATTCAAAAAAACCCAAAGATCATCCTAAATTCGAGTTTTGGATTTTTCAATTTTTTTTTTGAAAGAAAAGAGCTTTTAAAACAGATATAAATATCAAGCAAACCATTATTATTATTAATGAGGAGCATATATTTGATAAGATATCATAACTTAAAGTCATTTTTCCGATATCAAATTTTCTCAGATCTGTGTTTTGGATTCTTTCGCTTTGGGAGGGCGCGAAGCGCCCTCCCAAAGCGAAAGAATCCAAAACAACACAATTTTAAATTTTGAGATCGAAATCTCTAATTTTTTCCATATAAAAATAGACAGTACCAACTTTGCGGATCTTCAATCCGCAAAGTTTGTACCTAAAGCGTTATAGACTAACCCATGAATGGAAAATGACATTTTTTGCCATGTAAACATTTGAAAATAAGAAAATATTATTATCTTTCAATTCTGTGCATTTTCAGTTCTTTCATTAATATAGTTCGATACACATCTTTGTATAATTCAAGTATCGAACGGAAAATGAACATTAAGTTGTTAGAAAATTCTATTTTTTCTGAAAAAATAAATCAAAAAGTTTCTTGGAATACATTATTAATAAGAAACAGATTTATGTGTTTAAAATCCATTTATCCGTATGATATTTGGGAACAATATTACGGAAAAATTAATTCATATACAGAAATCAATGAAAGCCAAATTATTTCTAATATTCAAGGAAATATCATAGTTTATAATGCATTATTTAACGGAAAATACAATAATTCCATTATTTACTTGAAAGGAAACGATGAAACAAAATTTCTTATTTCAAATTCTATCTTTGATATTTCAGAAAATACTCGTGGGTTTGGTTATATTATTAAGCAGGAAGATGGTTCATGCGTTCAACATCAAATATGTGTCAAAAATTCTATTTCAATTAATTATTTTGCCACTCAATCATATATTGTAGCATCAAATTCACCTGAGCATATCAATTTTTTAATTGATTCAACTATTTCGGTCCCGAATGGAAATAGTATTTATTATAGTTACGGTAATATTTGTGTGGATAAAACAAATATTTCTAACTTATTTCAATTTGAACAATTAATACACATGATGTGCTATTTCCAATTATCTCAGCCAAACTCAAACGTTTCATTTTCCACTCTTAAGAACAATACTGGAAATTTACATTCTTATTTATATCATTATAATTTTAAAGGAACTCTACATCACCTTATTATTGATTCAAATATGGCAAGGTTCTCAATAATTGTTTTGAGTGATTCTAATTTAACTATTAAAGATTGCAACATCATAAACAATCGAGTTCAAATTGTTATCTTGCCCCAAATGCAGAAACTGCATACAACAATGCAGCTTTTAAAATAGAATCAACTCGAAACAGTTCGTTGGATTTCGATAATTTGCTTTTTGGATGCGAAAGATGTGATGGCCATCCATTCTATTTAAATAAAGTGATAATCAAATGCATTTCTATTCAAAATGAAAACTTTCCAATAATAGAACATGATGAAAAAATACATGCAATAATTTCAATTATGCCATCAATTGGGCCATTTTCTGTCAAAATTGAATCATGGATTGATAATAATAGACAACTGAATTCAGCCAATCAAATTAAAACAACACAAATACATGTAGGTGATCGAAATATTACTTTTGAACATGATTTAAGTAAATCCGAAAAGTATGGTCCCCAAACATTACATGTAAAATTAAGTTCAGGGAATAATGAATCAAATATTTTTGACATTAATTTCATACGTAGGAAAAAAGTAATAATAACAGTAACTGATATTTTTCCTTCACAAAACAAATTGGCAATAGTTGGAACAACTGATGAATCGTTAGATAATTGTCATATTCAATTATCATTCGATAATTCAACATTCACAAAGAAAGTTCCAATTTTCTCGAATTCATTTGATTTTGTTTCTGATATTCCACAAGATGCTCGTTTGAAAATTAATCCTGTTCGAATTCAAGTTATAAATCAAAAAGGAAGAGTCATCGGAGAAACATACAAATCAATTAATACTGAAAACAAAGTATCTATCTTGACAAACGATTGTAACCTTGTTTATCTTCTTCGACGCAGATAATAAATAATATCAGCAATACATTTTTGTTGTATAAGTCAAATAATTATTATAATTATTGAATTATACAAAGCAATGTGTATTATTAGTGAATTAACGTTTCCTATCATTTGATAAACACAAATCGTTTGAAAATGACTCTTTAACATGGCTAATTCTCGAAAGTATGTATAACATCTTATTATATAACGTAAAACGTAGTTTTTTAATCTTAAACATCCTGAGAAAATGTATTTTTATATATCAAATTCAAATTTATAAAAATATTGATATTTTTTGCAGGATGTTTTATTGTCGTCTAAAAAAGAGATTTTACAAGCATCTTTTGGTACCTAAATAAAGGAAAAACATCAATTCCATCTATGGTTATAGTGTGCAAACACTCATAATATATGGAGTAGCTAATTCTATTATTCGAAAATTCGCATTGTCATCTAAAACCCCCAGACGACAATAATAATACCCCTTTTTTGATTTGTTCATAAGTATAAATATTTTAATGATTTTAAAAATCAGTTTATTGACAAGAAAAAATAAAAAATATGCTAAATTTAAGTGTTCTTGAGGCTGTTGAGAACATTTTCAATGGAGTACTTAGAATCGATTCTCTTTGTTGTTGCCTGAGTGTGAATTGGCTCAATAACGATCGGGAAGTCCCAATCTGGTTTGGAATAGTCGACATCTTCTGGATCATCAGATTCCATCTGCTGCTGGTTGAAATTCTTTGTTTGTTTGGCCAATTCCGCGAACTTTTGTGGAGAAGGAGACCTTCTTCTGTCCGGAATCTTTGTTTGTCTGGCAGGAGACTTCTGAACAGGCTTTTCATTATCACTAGATGACGAAGATGAAGAAATCTTCTTTGGAAACTCCTTTTCTGAATCAGATTCCGATGATGAAGAAGATATCTTGGTCGGAGATGGCTTTCTGACTGGTGATGGCTTTCTTGCTGGTGATGGCTTCCTTTGTGGTGGCTTGACTGGCTCAACAACTTCGTCGTCGCTTGAATCGAAGAAATTCTTCTTCTTTTGTGGTTCTTCCTTCTTCGGAGGTGGAGATTCTACGATTTCTTCGACGACTTTCTTCACTGGCTCCTCTTTCTTCGGTGGAGGAACGTCTGATTCTGATGATGATGAAGAATCCAAAACATTTTTAGCTGGTTCTTGTTTCTTGGGTGGAGGAAGTTCCTCTTCGTCGGATGATGATGACGATAAGGCTTTCTTTGGCTCTGGTTTCTTTGGAGGAGGCAAATTTTCTTCTTCTGATGAAGAAGATGAAGAAATCTTCTTAGCAGGAGCTGCTTTCTTTGGTTCTGGCTTCTTTGGCGGTGGTAATTCATCTTCTTCCTCAGATGATGAAGATGAAATCTTTTTAACTGGCTCTGGCTTCTTCGGAGGAGGCAATTCTTCATCTGATGATGATTCTGAGAGTTTCCTCTTTGGCTCTGGCTTCTTTGGTGGTGGTAATTCGTCATCTGAAGAAGAAGAAAGTTTTTGAACAGGCTGAGGCTTTTTAGGATGTGGTAATTCATCTTCTGATGATGAGGAAGAGATTTTCTTGGCTGGCTCTGGTTTCTTTGGAGGAATTTCTTCATCTGAAGAAGATGAAAGTTTTTGAACAGGTTGTGGCTTCTTTGGTGGTGGCAAATCATCGGATGATGATGAAGATGAAATCTTCTTGGCTGGTTCTGGCTTCTTTGGTGGGATTTCCTCTTCATCTGAAGATGATGAAAGTTTTTTAGCTGGTTCTGGCTTCTTTGGAGGAGGAAGATCTTCTTCATCGGATGAGGATGATGAAAGTTTCTTCTTTGGCTCTGGTTTCTTAGGTGGAGGCAAATCTTCATCGGATGATGAGGAGAAAATGGATTTCCTTGCTTGTTTCTTAGGTGGTGGTAATTCATCGTCTTCTTCTTCATCTTCGATTAGCTTCTTTGGCTGTTGTTTCTTCGGAGGAGGCAAATCTTCAGATGATGAAGAAGAAATCAAAGGTTTCTTAGCAGGAGCTGCCTCTTTCTTAGGTGGAGGTAATTCATCATCGGAAGAAGATGATTCTTTGACTGGTTCTGGCTTCTTTTCTGGAGATTTCTCTTCTGATTCTGAATCTGAAGATAATTTCTTCTTCTTTGGCGGAGGAAGTTCATCATCGCTCGATGTAGAGCTGAAAACGCTCTTCTTAGGGGCTGGTTTCTCATCATCAGAAGATGATGAAGAAATCTTCTTCTTTGGAGGCTGTTTGTCATCTTCATCGCTTGATGATGATAAAAATACTTTCTTCTTCTTAGAACTAGAGCTTGAATCCGTTGATTTCTTTTCATCTTTCTTTGAATCCGATTTTTCGGACTTTTCTTCCTTGTTTTCCTCGTGAACTTCCTCTTTGGCCTCTTCTTTCTTCTCTTCTTCCTCATTCTGTTTGAGATCTTCTTTTGGTGGCTCTTCTACGACAGGAGCGTACTTATCTTCAATTCCCCAGAGGTCCATTTGTTCCTTGGAGATGTACTGTGGGAATCTGAACTCGATCGTGTCCGGTTCTGTTTCATCATATCTATTGATCGGAAGTAATGGAGAATCCCAGGCCTGCGCGTACTCTTTAACGCTAGAGAATTCTTCGCGCTGCTCTTCTGTGAGGATTCTATTGTAAATTGGAAGGTTTTCTCCTCTGGCTTTTGCCAATAATTTCTTTATATCCTGAACGTTGTCCTTCCAGTTGGGGAATTTCGTAACGAGCTCGGCGAGGTCAGCAAGTGGAGGTACAAATAAAACGTGCTCTTCTTTTGTGGAAAGGTCAGATGCGAGTTTTTGAAGAGGTTCTATCTGTTCCATATTGACTCTGTCGATGGAAACCTGCTTGATGGACCTGGATTCCATTACGAGTTGGTTCAAAGCTGTAATGAAGGCGTCTCCGAGTGATCCATTTAATATCTTGAGATTTTCAAGGAAATTGAGTTTCGGAATGAGCTGATTGAACTTCTCAATGTCTGTAACGATGAAGTTTTGGATGACAAGTGTACGAAGAGTTGACGTATCTGGAAGATTTTCGATAATCTTGTCGAAAAGCTCTTTGCTCTCTTCTTTCATTCCGAAATCGATTGAAAGATACTCAAGGTGCTTGCAGGCGAGTACGAAATCGATCAGTTTTGGAGTAAGATTTGGTCCGATTACCAAACCTTTGAAATTACTGCATTTGGAGGCATTGAACTCGAACTCTTGGACAAAGGAACCATTTATGTGTAATCTGATTCCATTTTGGAAGGTTGTTCCCTGTAATAATTTGATTAATTCTGTAAATGCAGCTCCTTCAAAGGTTAAGAAGGACAAATCAAGGCGTTCGAGTTGTGGGATATCGATTTTCTCTGGGAACAATTGACAAATATTGGCAGAAATGTTAAGCCAGCGAAGATTTGCCATTTTGAGGTTGGAAATCTGGGTAAGGATAGTTCCTGTGTTAACTCCGATAGCAGGCATTGATAATATGTAGATATTTGGTAATTTCGGTGCAATTGTTTCGAGTTGTGGGTAGATATTGTGATCAATTGCGAGGTACAAGAGAGTTTCAGCGATGGATTCGTTGAAAAACTCATTTGCGAAGTATTGCATGTCTTCCTGTAAGAAAGCGTTGTAGAAACAAAGGGATCTGACGTGTTTTTCGGAAAGTTTTTGATTAAGTTTCTTCAAATTGTCCGAAGATAGGCTTGTGTTAATAAATGAAAAGCAATTTGCGGCGTACTTATCGAAATTGTCAAGGAGATCTTTGAAATGCTCATCAGAAGGGATACTGAAGCCCAGATGGCGGTAATGAAGGTCTCTCTTAGCAACATACTTGACGATTTCGGCGTAGATCGATTTGGCAGGCTTCTCCGCAGCAAATGTGAAAGATTTTGAATTTCTCTTGAATCCGAATGCATAAAGGATGGTAAACAAGTAATCAGCCACTGGCCTCTGTGGTGGGATTGCTATGTCTGTTATATTGTTAGCAAGCAAATAATAGACTAAGTTGCTAATTTCAAGAGGCATTGACTTTCCTACTTTGACAAGTAGGTTGTTAAAGCCGAAATTAGTTGTTACAACGGAGTATGGGAAGTTCTTTGATACTGAAGAGTCGTATCCAATCTTTGCTACTTTATCCGGGTTAAATGAACGGCACAGATAGCTTTGGATGATTCCGTAAATATTGTCGACATCAGGAGATTCAAATCTGATTTGTGAAGGATTTTTTGTTTCCTGATTAAAGTAAATTTCGATTCTGTTTGATTTTGGCTCGTTTATCCTCCTTACTTCACTAGTGTCGATAAACAAAAATTTCCTGTCTGGTTTCTTTCCTTTGTAATACTCAATCTTATTAGTCGTTATTACGATATTTCGGGCATCGCCTCCTTTTCCAGAGTCGTGGAGTTTGCGAACAGCTCCGACGTACAAGATAGTGCTACCTGCCTTCTTCTCGGCATCAACAATAGCTTGGAACTCTTGATCTTCTTTGCCCATATAACTATTAAAGTAAACTACACAAAAATTGAGAACTTTTCATTACATTTTGCAACTCACCGCGATTTTAACTTTTAGAATTGCATGATTTCTCTTGAGAGAGACTGTGTCGATGAAAATTTGATTTCACTTTTCATGCGCAATATATTTGACACGAGTCAAACTTAATTTAATAAATATTAATACTCACATATAATGCAATCTATTTCGAAACTTTCACTTTTATCATTGTACTCTCAATTTTTGTGAAGATTGAATGGAATAATTTAGGTGAATGAGAAAAAAATAAATAATTTTGAACCAAAGACAGTTACTTTTAACAAAATTTAGTTTTCAGCTGGAGTTTCTTCCTTCTTCTCTTCCTCCTTCTTTTCCTCTTCCTTCTTTTCGTCGTCCTTCTTATCCTTCTTAGAAGATGAGGATGAAGAAGAGGATGAGCTAGAGTCTTCGTCCTTGTCATCATCCTTCTTTTCTTCTTCAGCCTTCTTTGTAGCCTCCTCTTCAGCAGCCTTCTTCGCTGCCTCTTCTTCGGCGGCCTTCTTAGCTGCTTCTTCTTCAGCGGCCTTTCTGGCGGCTTCCTCTTCAGCAGCCTTACGTGCGGCCTCTTCTTCGGCGGCCTTTCTGGCAGCTTCTTCCTCAGCAGCCTTTCTGGCGGCTTCCTCTTCAGCAGCCTTACGTGCGGCCTCTTCTTCAGCGGCCTTTCTGGCAGCTTCTTCTTCGGCAGCCTTGCGAGCGGCCTCTTCTTCAGCAGCCTTTCTGGCAGCTTCTTCGGCAGCCTTTCTGGCAGCTTCTTCGGCAGCCTTTCTGGCAGCTTCTTCTTCGGCAGCCTTACGTGCGGCCTCTTCTTCAGCGGCCTTTCTGGCAGCTTCTTCTTCGGCAGCCTTGCGAGTGGCCTCTTCTTCAGCAGCCTTTCTGGCAGCTTCTTCGGCAGCCTTTCTGGCAGCTTCTTCTTCAGCAGCCTTTCTGGCAGCTTCCTCTTCAGCAGCCTTACGTGCGGCCTCTTCTTCAGCAGCCTTTCTGGCGGCTTCTTCTTCAGCAGCCTTACGTGCGGCCTCTTCTTCAGCAGCCTTACGTGCGGCTTCCTCTTCAGCAGCCTTTCTGGCAGCTTCTTCCTCAGCAGCCTTTCTGGCGGCTTCCTCTTCAGCAGCCTTACGTGCAGCTTCTTCTTCGGCAGCCTTACGTGCGGCCTCTTCTTCAGCGGCCTTTCTGGCAGCTTCCTCTTCGGCGGCCTTGCGAGCGGCCTCTTCTTCAGCGGCCTTTCTGGCAGCTTCTTCCTCAGCAGCCTTACGTGCGGCCTCTTCTTCAGCAGCCTTTCTGGCGGCTTCCTCTTCAGCAGCCTTACGTGCGGCTTCCTCTTCAGCAGCCTTTCTGGCGGCCTCTTCTTCAGCAGCCTTTCTGGCAGCTTCCTCTTCAGCAGCCTTACGTGCGGCCTCTTCTTCAGCAGCCTTTCTGGCGGCTTCCTCTTCAGCAGCCTTACGTGCGGCCTCTTCTTCAGCAGCCTTTCTGGCGGCCTCTTCTTCAGCAGCCTTTCTGGCAGCTTCCTCTTCAGCAGCCTTACGTGCGGCCTCTTCTTCAGCAGCCTTTCTGGCGGCTTCTTCTTCAGCAGCCTTACGTGCGGCCTCTTCTTCAGCAGCCTTACGTGCGGCTTCCTCTTCAGCAGCCTTTCTGGCAGCTTCTTCCTCAGCAGCCTTTCTGGCGGCTTCCTCTTCAGCAGCCTTACGTGCAGCTTCTTCTTCGGCAGCCTTGCGAGCGGCCTCTTCTTCAGCGGCCTTTCTGGCAGCTTCTTCTTCAGCAGCCTTTCTGGCAGCTTCCTCTTCAGCAGCCTTTCTGGCAGCTTCCTCTTCAGCAGCCTTTCTGGCAGCTTCTTCCTCAGCAGCCTTACGTGCGGCCTCTTCTTCAGCAGCCTTTCTGGCGGCTTCCTCTTCAGCAGCCTTACGTGCGGCCTCTTCTTCAGCAGCCTTGCGAGCGGCCTCTTCTTCAGCAGCCTTTCTGGCAGCTTCCTCTTCAGCAGCCTTACGTGCGGCCTCTTCTTCAGCAGCCTTACGTGCGGCTTCCTCTTCAGCAGCCTTTCTGGCAGCTTCTTCCTCAGCAGCCTTTCTGGCGGCTTCCTCTTCAGCAGCCTTACGTGCAGCTTCTTCTTCGGCAGCCTTGCGAGCGGCCTCTTCTTCAGCGGCCTTTCTGGCAGCTTCTTCTTCGGCAGCCTTGCGAGCGGCCTCTTCTTCAGCAGCCTTTCTGGCAGCTTCCTCTTCAGCAGCCTTTCTGGCAGCTTCTTCCTCAGCAGCCTTACGTGCGGCCTCTTCTTCGGCGGCCTTGCGAGCGGCTTCCTCTTCAGCAGCCTTCTTCGCTGCTTCTTCAGCGGCCTTCTTTGCTGCTTCTTCAGCGGCCTTCTTTGCTGCTTCTTCAGCGGCCTTCTTTGCAGCATCATCTTCAGCTGCCTTCTTTGCAGCATCATCTTCAGCTGCCTTTGTAGATTCGTCCTTCTTTCCTTTCTTCTTAGATGATGAAGATGAAGAAGATGAGGATGAAGAAGATTCTTCCTTATCTTTCTTCTCCTTCTTCTCTTCCTTCTTTTCTTCCTTCTTTACTTCTTCGGCCTTTTCTTCCTTCTTTTCTTTTGTTTCTTCTTTAGCATTTTCGACTGATGCAACTTGAGCTGGCTTTTTTTCAGCCTTAGCTTCTTCAGGCTTCTTTACTTTTGGCTGAGCTTTAAGGGCTCTTGGTAAATGACCTGGGTCATTAGGCTTTGATGCACTGCAACCCATTCTTTATTATATGTGGCTAGACGAGTTGTCAAATCACAACCGTTTTTCCATAAATTTTTATACTGATATTGGATTATATTAATATTTTTTGTTGCTTTTAATGCATGGCCAAATTTCGAAAGAATCTATCGTCTTTTTATATTTATTTACAACTTTTAAATATTTGGTTAGACTAGATGGATTTAATATTTCAGAACCAACAAACTGTTTATCAAATAATTGAAATCAACGATAGAAATCAAATCAAAATGCGATACAAATTCTTAAAATCCAAAATTTTAAAATTCGAATCTATACATAAATGCAATACTAAATATTCATTAAAATAAAAATAATAAACGGTTATAATTGTTATAGACCGAAAATATATTTTTTCGGTTTTCTCTTCAAATAATTGAAAGAATGATACTATTATAGGTTTATTTAAGGGTTTCGTTTTGCTAAAATTGTGAGAGAGGGTCAAAGTTGCTATTTGTCACTTTTCCACAAGAATATAATGGGGAAAAAGTTATCATATAGTTGATCTCATTCAGTGAGGTGAGAGATGCATGTAGTGTAATGTGATAAACAGTGGGATTGCTGCTCTAAGTCCTAGGTTCGAGACACATTGGCTTCATTTTTCTCTTTTTTATTGACGTAAACTATTCAATTTTTGTGTTCTCCATTCAAATTTCAGAATTTTTTTTGCAGATTTCACGCTACATTCGAAGTTACCTTTTGTAACAACCACCACTGCCTACGAAAGACGAAAGTGTGTCACGATTTCACCCGGAAATCCGACGGTTGTTTAAGAGTATGCACTTTTGTCACCTACTCCTAAAATTGTCACTTTTATAGCATATTTGTTTTTGGATGTTTTGCGAAACCAAAAAACAAAAAACTATGATATACAATGTGTGTGTAAAGAAAATACTTTATTTACTAGTTAAAAAATCATTTGGTATTGATCAAGTTATTTTTTCTGGATAAGATATTATATGGATAATTGGATAGAAAATACAATTATATAATCTTGTACCTGGTTTAATTAAGCTAATTGTCATCAGAAACTTGTAATTTTTATGAATTTCAGATTTTCTTTTCATTACTGCTTTTCTTAATAGGTCAAGTTCTTATTTACGTTATAAAGTATGATATTTACAAATATCAAGTTATCATGTTTTTTGAGAAATTATGAGAAACAAACAAAAATGAAAAAGATAGGAATAGCAATGAATAGTGATGTGGGTATAGAAAATGTAAGAGATATGAATGCAAAGCAATCAGTATTTAGGATATTGACCATAGATTTCGAAAAAAAAATGCTGCATATTGAGCGAAAACTATGATTATATTATAAGGCTGTCATTTAAAGCATAATGAAACTATTCCCTTTTCATTTTAATCGAATAAGATAGTAAAGATTTTTGAATTAGCTAGAAACTGATGAGATGTTTTCACAAATCAGATTTTTAATCTCTATAATGCATAATTCACTCAATATCTCAATTTTGATATTGCGAGATATTTTTGCTATCGGTTTCGCAATTTTGACACAATAGCAAGAGGGTTCTATAAGCATTATTATCAACGTAGAATCTGAATATCATATCAGAAAATGTCGCAAATCTGACATTTACCCGACCAAATAGCAAAAATAATTGAATACTTTTCGCAAAAACTTTAAAAATCGATAAAAATATGAAATATAGATATTAAAGAGACTTTTTATATAATATTCATAAAGATTTTCCAAAAATATGATACCGCAAAATTAAAAAAGTGACGTCTTGAGTGGAGTCAAAGGTCGAAATTGCTAGCTAAATGTTTTTTTAGCGAAATTGCGTATTGTACGTTTTTTTCGCAAAACGAAACCCTTAGTTTATTATATTATATAGCATATAATCATGCTATAGCCGAAAATTATAAGTTTTGAGAAGATTGAATATAACACAAATAAATTTGAATCTAAGTTAAATTGCTTGTTGTTTTTAATAGCTATTCAATGAGAAATCCAATATTACAAAATTCAAATTGAATGATTGAAAGAACAGAAAAAGTCATTCTTTTCAATTTCGAATATGTTTCATTGTATTTATAATTATATGGCAAATAAGATATTTAAACTTGATTTTTGAAGGAAAATTCACAAAATTGAATAAATTCAAATAATTTTTATTCAAAAATAAACTAGTTATTTGAGTTTAATACCAATTATCTATTCAAACTACAAAGTTTGTAATTTAAAATATTTTGTGAGATCAGATTGAATTAATTCAAGGTTCTTTTCAATTAATATTAATGACCATATTACGCATTTTCGAACATTCTAAACCAAATATATAAAAATGGGAGACGAATGTTAAATTTTCTAGACATAAAGAAGTTGTTTACCGAGTTTTAGCTCTTATCTCTAACAAAAAATTAATTTTTAAAAAAATGACCGAATACGTTTCACAGCGAGAAAAAAATAAAAGGCAAGATAGAATTTTCTAGACATAAAGAAGTTGTTTACCGAGTTTTAGCTCTTATCTCTAACAAAAAATTAATTTTTAAAAAAATGACCGAATACGTTTCACAGCGAGAAAAAAATAAAAGGCAAGATAGAATTTTCTAGACATAAAGAAGTTGTTTACCGAGTTTTAGCTCTTATCTCTAACAAAAAATTAATTTTTAAAAAAATGACTGAATACGTTTCACAGCGAGAAAAAAATAAAACTGTACACTGATTTTCATTTTCATTTCCAGTCACTTTACTTATTATTTTTTCTTTTTTTCATTTTAATTATAAATTATTTCATAATACGTTTATTTACGTTACCATTTTCTTTATTCTTTTGAATTCCATACTAGACACTTATAGAATATTTTGATTGTTAACGTACTTCATTAGAATGAATCCTTACAAAGGGTATGTCGATCGAATTTACCTAATTGGTATTTCCAATCAGATTGAAGAAGGTAAAATGACATGGGAAGAAGCTTGCACCCATGTTCCAATCGCCCCAACCCTTCAATCAAATGATTTCAAATATTTAGATGTTTCAAAATCTTTTTTACAAAATCAATTTAGCTTACAGAATATCCCATTGCCTAAAGGCAAGAAAGGTCGTAGGGTCAATCCCTACGACCAAATCAAATCTCTTGCTGTGATACATGACCACTGGGCCTTTCCCTGTGGTCAAACAAAACAATGGAAACGTTTGAAATTACAACAAATTGATGTATCTTATAGAGAAGTACGCAGATACTTCAAAGAAAATCATTTCACCAAGACGCGATTAGAGCATGCCGGGCCAGAAACAGCAGTAAGATATTGGGCGCTTTCACCCAATCTTATCTGGCACGCAGATGTTCATTATTTTAGGGGTGTTCGTGGCCAGTATATTTATGGCATAATCGACAATTTTAGCCGCAAAGTCCTAGCGTGTATACAAATACCAGATATGCTGGCAGCGACGACAGCGAACGTTGCGGCTTCCGCCTTCATTGAATTTGGCGCCCCTTATTGTTTCTGGACCGACAACGGTTCAGAAAATAGGGGCGCCTTTCAAGATTTACTTGATCTTTGGGGCGTCCAATGGCGGCATACAGACTCTCATTCTCCCTACCAAAATGGGAAGATTGAGAGATTCTGGCCGACATTGGAGCGCTGCCAAAGCATTCAGGCTATTCCTGCCTTTATTTGGGAGTACAATAATAACACACCGCATGAAGATCTCCCAATTAATCCATTAACTGGAACAAATTACACGCCAAATCAAATGTATCAGCTGAAACCGAAATACACAAATGCAGATACAGAAAGGTTGTGGCAAATATGGGATACAGATACAGGCATGACCGCTGTTGACACATTCACAGCGTAATAATAAACATAATTTTTTAATTTCATTTTTAACAAGTTTTTTTAAATGTATGTAATGAATAATTCATTAGAATATGATAATGCACATTGTAACAGAATAGAACAATCACCAAAATTTTTTTTGAAATTAAAAAATATAAAACCAAAAATAATTGTTATAATTTAAATGAAGAAGTAGTTTAAAACGATTTTATTTATGATCAAATTTTATATATTTTTTGGATCAAATCCATTTTAATAGAAATTATATACTATTCATCTATTAGTAAACACTACCGTATATTATTTTTTAAGCTATCTTATTTTTTGAACTTTTATTCAAATCTTTGGTCGCAAGAAGAATTGCATGATAAATAAAAACATTTAATCAAAGTCAATTTTATTTTTCATATTCAAATGGACTGAGTGTTAACATTTAACGTTTTTTGCTAATTGTCGTCAAAAATTAGGCGTAAAGCAAAAATTGATATTTCATATGGTTTTATGATAGATAAGCATTATATTCCCACTCATTATATTCGTAAATTTTGAGGTTTATCCTTCGCTTTTAAGATCATTGAATTTGATTTTTATATAAAATAGTTATATATTAGAAAATAATATGAGTTTATGTGATATTATTTTTCAGAAGATTTCATTCTATATGCCTATGAAAAGTACTCTCAAAACTAACTTTTTCCTAATTATAATTAAATCTAGAATATTGTATTATGCTTAGTATTATTTCATTTTTCTCATTCAATTTAGAATTTACAAATGTCAAAAAATTGAGAGCCGTCACTTTTGATTTTTAAGTAGAGTTTATCGATCATTAATGCATTAAGCATGAATAATTGGTTAATTAGTTAAAAGTTCTGCTGAGATTAAGCTTTAATTGCATGATAGTCATGACTAATTCGCTGAATAAGATTTTGAAAAATGGTCAAATCGTATAAGATGCAAAACGAGTGCATAAATGGTGTTTTTTACATGTAATGGATTGCATCGACTACCAATAAGCACCCCATAATGTCAAAATTAAATATTGCTTGGCTGAATTTTTCGATTTCAAAAATATAAAAGTGATAACCGCAGGTTTACACAACGATAACGCATTCAATTCATTTTTTTCTAAAATTTTAAGATGTCCGACAACACTTCTGGGTCAACACGC